ATATACACAATTTGGTTGTCATGTATTATACTTTTATATATCACTAGACTTGATTGTATATGTATATCACTAAGTTTTTTGTATGTTGTTAGATTTGATCTAATATTCCCAATTGTTTTTGAATCTCTGTTCATCTTCTTGTCTTATACTTGTCAAACATTGATCAAGGATTCACTGGCTTCATACAATGAGTTGGGAAACAGTTTCTCCTTTTTCCTTCTTTGGACAATCCTGTGTATGACTGTGTTATATTTGAAGCATTGTGTCAACTTGAGAGGTTTAGAAGCTTAACTAAGAGATTCAGCAACTCCACATCCTAGGGTGGAGGACAGCCCTTACCCCTCTAGGATTTTGTTCATTGTGTCAATTTGAGACACTCAGAAGTTTAATTAAGTGGTTTGGCAGGGACCCATCAGCCTTACTTTGTAACATCCTCAGGCTGTACAAGAGAAGAGCATGCAGATGGTGTGACTGCAGTATCCACCCAAGGGGCACAGTCTGCTTACAGTACAAGAGAAAAAGAGGCTTGCTCGCCCACTCCCCCTGTTGCTCTTGCTTTGCCGCTTGAAGTGTTATCCTGGTTCCATGCCACCCTGTCTTGGAGCCAGCTGACTATGGACTGAAACCTCCACAAACTTTGAGCTAAATAAATCTTTCCTTAATTTTGGATATCGGGTATTTTGTCCCATCAATGAGAGAAAAGTAACCAAGATGGAATTTGGTGCCAGGGAAGTGCGGTCATTGCTGTGACTGTACCTGACCATGTGGTTCAAGAGTCTCTGAGAATGGCTTGTGGGAAAAGTTTGAAAAGGTTGAGATGTCACCTGAAAGAGTAGTGCTGGAATGCGTTAGCTGTTGTGTATGGGAGATTCTGAGCAGAGCTCAAAAGACCAGAAGGCGATAGAAATCCTGCCAATGGACCAGGCTTTGGAGGTTTCAGCTGTGAAAGAGGACTGCATTGGTTGTCAGCTCCAGATAATGTATGTTACGGCTTGGCAAGAAGTTTGTATTTTGTTTGTGTCTAGAGACTTTGCTTGAGACCAAGCTTAAGGGTGGTGGACTAGGTAATCTGGTAGGAGAAATTTCAAGGCAGTCAAATGTCGAGGCAGTGGCATGGCTATTGTTGGGGGCTTTTAGCCAGATTTATGTTGCCGATCAAGAGCAGAGAGCCCCGCAGAATGATTTAAAATGTTGTGAGTTTGGCCAATATGGAAGCTCCACTAAGACTGTGGACTGCATAGGGAGAACTGAAGACATCTGGATTGCTGAGAAGAAACAGGAGAAAATAGAAGATGCCCTGAGTGTATCACAAATAGCAAGTCTCTACCCTTTGCAGTCTCAAAACTGCAAAAGTGAAAGACTCTGCTTTGAGGAGAAAGCCACAGAGCACCACATTCTAGAATGGTGGCAGCATAAAAAATTCATTCCTCACAATCAGGTTCAGAATGGCCAGTAATCCATGCACTGGACCCCTACAGCCAAGAGAAGAAAGCCCAGCCAATGCTCCAGCTGTCAGCAGACCTTAGCATCATCCATGTGGCACTGGTTTTAAGCTCATGCAGAATGCAACAGTTCTGAGGTTAAGGCAGCTTGCACCTCCATTAGGAGGCCAAGCAGTGTGCCCCGGACAGGCCAGTAGGTAAAGCTGTGAGCATAAAGCCCAAGGCACAGTGAAATTTAGAAAAGCCAGGAATGTGGATCATCTAAGGAGACCTGCAAGGAGGGAGCAAGGCCAGCCCAAGGGAGAAGCCATGGGATCTGTACCCACCAGAAGTGCTGCAGGGGTGGAGTGTCACGAGCCCTCCGGAGCTCACAATCGCCACAGATTGCTTCAGATGCTTGGCATGCAACTACAGTTTGCCCTGCTGGGTTTTGGACTTGCTTTTGTCCCAATCCTTTGTATTCTCTTGTTTGTAACCTGGAATTAAAATGTTTATCTTGCGCCATTTAATGTTGGAAGTGTTTGACTTTGTTTTCTTTTGTGTGGGAGTTGCCTGAGAGTTTGACTTACATCTCAGGGGAGAATTGGGCCGTAGATTTTTCAGCAGTGCTGAAACTGTTAGGAGTTTGGCAGCTTTTGGAGATGACTAAATAAATGTCTTTTATCTAAAGGAATGCACATGAGTCTTTGGGGGCTGGGACAAAACCTTAGGATTCTAATGTAATATAATGTTGATATACTTAATGCTGGTTCTTAAGGATTGTTAAACCTGTGTTATAATGTTCCAAGTTGTGAAATGCTAAGAATAAGCATGTCTTTATATCTGGAGACTGATTTAAAGAAATGTGTCTGGTTGCCAAGTTGACAAGGGGTGCATTATTATAGTTGAAACATTGTGTCAATTTAAGCAAGTCTAGCATTTAGCTAAGTGAGCAGCAGCCCTACATCCTGGAGTATAAAGGACAAGCTGTTTCCCCTGGAGGATGTTGTTCATTGTGTCAATTTGAGAAGGTCAGAAATTAAACTACTCAGCAGGGGCCAGGGGCCTTACTTTGTAACCCACTTGCTCTTTTCCCTTTTTGCTCTGTTGCTTTGCTGTCTTCTGCCACTTGCAGTGTTGTCCTGGTTCCTGTTCTACCCCAGAAAGGAGATCCCCCAAATGTTGCTCAGAACAAGGCAAGATGTTTTTGAAGAAAAAGAAGCGCTTTATTTTAGCTGGTAACCAGCAAGCAGGGAGCAGTGGAGACTGACAGCCTCTGCGTGGGGAGATGGTGCGGGCACAGCTTTTAAAACTGACAAAAACCGCAAAACGATAGAGGTTCTAAGACAGGGTGGGAGTCCAGGGAGTTTTACAAGGGACATCTGGTGCACAGTGATCTCAGAAAACGGGGTGTTTGGCTGCGTTGGGCTGAGGGCTAGGTGCAGAATGTTTCTGCACCCTAGCGGGGGAGGTCCGAGGCTGGTGGTTAACTTATCTATATGAGCCCAGCTGAGAAGGAACAGAAAAAGAGGGGGGGGGGGTGGGTGACGCATGCAGGACAAGAACACGGCGTGGAGTGATCTGTGGAAAGTACAAGTTATAACAGTTCCATGCCACCCTGTCTTGGAGCCGCTGATTATGGACTGAAACCTCCACAGACTGTGAACTGAGTAAGCGTTTCTTTCATTAATTTTGAGCATTGGGTACTTTGTCCCAGCAATGAGAGAAAAGTAACCAAAACGGATTGATATTGTTTCTTACGCATTTCAACTGCACCAGCAATTATGAATTCTATATTTAATAGAGATAGGTCTTACCATTTTGTATCTTTTTCTTAGAACTTTGCCATGTCAAATGTATTGACATAAGGTTGTTCATACTAGTCTTTTATTGTCTCTTGGTGCCTGTAGAATCTGGAAAGATTCTTTTTTTCATTTTTTACTTTGGTTACTTGGCCTCTTGTTTTTTTCTTGATGAAACCTTTCAGAGATCTACTTATTTATAGGTCTTTCCAAAGCACAAACTTTGGGGTTTATCTCTGTAAATAAGCTTGCTTCATCTGATTAATTTTTAAATTTTTATTTTTTTCTATTTTCTTTATTTGCATTTAACTCTTTCACATTTCTTAAACCAGATGTTTAGTTATTTGATTTTCATCTTTTTTAAAAACTATGTACATCTTAAGACCAAGTTTTCCTGCCTTCATGTTTTTACTTATAGTTATTTTTTATTCTGTATACTTGTTTGCTTTTGTATCATATTGTGTACTTACTCTTTTGTAAACTTGTTTTGGAATCTTACCTAGTTCTTTTAGTGGCTGCTGACCCCCCCACCCCCCATACTGGAGATGGGACCCAGGACCTTCACAAGGAGCTAATCCTGAGCCCTTCTCAAATTTTTATTTTGAGACAGTCTCAGATTGTTGCTCAGGCTGGGCTTGAACATGCAGTCCTCCTGCCGCATCCTCCTTGATGCTGGCATTACAGCTGAGTGTATAAAAAAATAGTTTCTCTGGTTTTTCTAATTGTTCTCAATGGATTATTTGAAAGCAAGCTAATCTGCTCTTGATGAAACAGATTCAGACATAATTTTAATTCATCCTTTAAATTAAGAAAAATCCTCTAATTTAAAAACGACTTCCAGGCTTATTTGCAACTTCTTTGCTAAACACTTAATATATGTAGATAACTAGCATGTTCAAAAGGAAACTTGAAATAGAGCTTCTGTTAACTTCTTTGTGTATATGCATGTGTTGTGTTTTGGTATTACTTAGAAATATTGTATCTCTGCCACAAGCCATTAAAATTTTAATCTGTACTTGTCTGATAGACAAATATTTTATAAAAAGTTCTGATACTTGTGCTAATTGTTATCTAAGGAATAGCTAATTGTTATCTAAGGCTCAGAACCACAAAAAGAGTTGTTCTGTTCTGTGTTGTGATGTGACAACACAGTCCTCAAAATTATCCTCTTTATATGTACACGATAAATAATACAGGTTTTTATTAGCTTTGTTCATCCTTTATTTTTTTAAAGAACACGATTTTACCACTTTTTCAAGTTTAATATAATTTGATTAAAGTCTCAAAATTGTAAAACAAGCTTTTGAAAAACTTAGCATCAAACAATTCCTACATGGGAAAAGCAGGATTCTTACTTAGTAACCAAAATAAAATACAGGCATTATTTGGACCATGAAACTGAATGAGATACAGTGGAGATAATTCCATTTCAGACATTTTTATTCATCAGTTCAGTCTTATTCTCATTGACTGACTATATTATAAAACTTTATGTACATACAAATTTACATTATAAACAAATAACAAATATTACAGATTTGAATCTGTTTAGATATACTGTATTCTAACCAGATGCTGAGTTTCTGCCTTAAATATCGAGATGTGTATAGATCTAACTGGAAAAAATTACATAAAATTAGAAAACAAATAATGTGGATGAATGCCTGTATTTTTGAAAATTGGCTTGCCTGAATTATACAAATTAATGTATACTTGCTGTTTATCTGGCCTAGATCTTGACATTTAGCAAACTGATTGCATTCATTGTCACTTATAGGCTGAAGCTAAAGGTGAGGCCATCACTCTTGAAATATATAGTTGCACCATGATGTTCTTATCACACTGACGCTGGACAGGCTGTGGCAGAAGGGAATTGCACTGGTTCCTTAGGTAAGGAAGAGCGTAAATGCTCACACCTCAGGTTTTCCTTTGCTTCCTTTATTTGGATATATGGGAGTCAGAAATGTAACAGTAGAAGAAAACGTAGGATGCTTTAGGAATATATATGTTAAGTGCATGTATTTCATTTGTATTTTGTTTGTTTATTTGTATTCGTTGAGACAGGGTGTTGCTGTGCAGTTCAGGCCGACCTTGAGCACATCTTGTAACCTAGGCTAAGTCCTGAACTCACAGTGATCCTCTGGCTCAGCCTCCCGAGTGCTGGGACGACAGGCGTGAGCCACCGTGCCCTGCTTTCTCAGTTGTATTTTATTTGAGGCATTTTAGAATTGTGTTTAGTTTTTTCAAATTTTTATAGATTGTGTTTGATTTCCATACCTACTTGAATTTGCGTTCATTTTTGTGGATAATCAAAACCCTGAAGATGTCATTTACTTGAAGTTGAGTATTTATGAGTTGAATATATTTAATAATTTTGAATTCCCCTCCCTTAAAAGTGTTCAGTATGGCCAATACCTTCAAAGTAAGCATTCTAAATCAATAGCATATATGTGGTTCCATCTAATATTGTTTCTAATGTATTATAAATGTTTGAAGACCTTATAAATACACTGTGTGATAGTTTTTGAGACCAGAAGCTTTAGTGACATTTATTAGTGAAAACTAAAAATTCATCAAGTGCTGATATGTTAGTTAATAGATTTTTGAGTCAAGAGTGGTTCTTACTTTTTTTTCTTTTTCTGGTACTGAGGATCGAACTTATGAGCTGGTGCTTGCCAGGCAGGCGCTTAGGGACTTGAGCTAAATCCCCAGCCCCAAAGTAGTTCTTACTTTTTAAGTAAGAATTTTTCATTTTCCATATTTTCATTTTCTTATTTAAGAAAAATCAGTTTTGGATTTAGGATTAAGCATGGAGTTTAGAATATCTTTGGTCTTCCTCCGTAAATTCCCTAAAATGACAGTAAAAATAATAAAACAGAGAATGCAGAGGCAACAGAAAATGAGACTAGAGAAGTGATATCTTAGAAATGTTAGGAAGCAAATGGATAAACTCATCAATTTAGAGCACAAATGTTGGTAGAATATAATATTTTACCATAACATTGAACTGCAGTTTAATTAGCCCTTTATGTGGGGTCATTAGATAATTTTTAGTGTGACTATAATGTTTTAGAATTCATCCAACCATTCCTCCATTAATGATGATTTAGTTTCTTTGGTTTTTTCAAATGTTATAAATAGCATTAGTCTACCAAAAATATGTTAAATTTTTGCAATCAGTTCCTCAAAATAATCAAATAAAAGGGAATGCCTTTTATGGATATTGACCCATGGTGCTAGATTGCTTCCCAAAGGCTGTTATCACTGTTCACATCAAGGTGTAGTTTCCCCTTTCACTGTATCCTAACCCAACACAAAGGCCAGGGTAGGGTTCAACCCTGCATTTACCTTAAGAGCTTCAGTCTGGAAGGAAACAGGTGGTGCTTGCTGTAAGTTTCTTGACTTGCTTCTGTTTTACACGAAGCAAATAAGCAGGCTCCTTTTATCACTACTGATTTAAAATAAAAACAAGTGCTTTATCTTTACCTGATAGGCTCAAGGAAGGATTTATGAAGCACATACGTCATTCAGGATCAAAGGAGAAGACAGGCACTACACAGTGATTTAAATGGTCAGTTTAATATAAAGAATGAGCTATAATAGAAAAGCAATAAAATTATTATGTAAAGAGAACTCTGAAAGATACCCTCGGACCGAGGGAAAGTACCCAGTGAGGGGTAGAATTGAGAGCTCAGTTTCTTTGAAGGTGTGGTTGCTTAAGCTTTATGTTGGTACACAATTGCTGTGGCCACAGGTGAGCTAAGACTGTTGTGAAAGTGTGCAGAGGGACCCAGGATGCTGCCACAGGTGCCAGCCCTGGTGTTTGTGTTGGGAGGGCCTCGAGACGCCGGTGAGTGCAAAGGGAACCAGGGCACCACAGTAAGTGAGAAAGGAGCCTCCCGATGCCTGCAGCCTAGAACACTGGGGTTTAGAGCACAGCAGTGCCAGGCTACTGTGTGGGACACAGGTCCGGTGCCTGGCTAGCCGGAGGGAAGAGAATGGGGAGAAGACACTGGTCTAGGGCTTTGGTTGTAGTGCTCTGCTGCCCGAGTAGAGAGCTGAAGAGAGAAAGCACGCAGATAGATGGCTGTGCCTTGGAGGATCCTAGGACTACAGCAGTGTTTACAGCCTCGGCATTGTTGACGTTTAGGACTAGATATTTATTTGTTGTTGGGATACATTCGGTGTACTATAGGATGTGGAGAGGCATCCTTGATCAAAAATCACTCTGTGCTTGTAGGTACTCCCAGTTGTGATAATGAAAGACAGCTCCAGGTATTGATAGTATACTCGGGCAGGAAAATCACTCCTACCTGTAACTGCTTGGCTATGGAAATTTCATAGCCTGAGCAGCAGAACAGAAAAGATGTGCGAGCTCTCTAGAAATCTTCAGAGAAGACTTTCCTGCTGTGACCTGTTTCCAGCCCACTATAGTAATACATTGTGATATGTCTGCTGACAAGAAAAAAATGTGTTAAAAACCCAGATTCATGCTCTGAAACAATGCAGGCAGTGAGAGAAAAATGTGAATCAGGGAGGCAATTGGTTGATAACTGATAACATGAGAGAAAGGTTGAGGAAATACAAGCAAAATTATGAGTAAAAGAGCATGTGGGCTGGGGATTTAGCTCAGTGGCATAAGCGCCTGCCTTGTAAGTGCATGGTCGTGAATTTGATCCCCGTAGCAAAAAAAAAAAAAAAAAAAAAGCATGAAGGCACTCAGAAAAAGAGGACCAGGTTGATGAGAAAGAAATTATGTAAGTAATTTGGGTAATATGTAAGTATTTATGTAAATTTTTGTACATCCTAGATTACTCAGGAAATTGTTCATGTTGCGACCTTCTGTTCCATTTTTTCCTCTATCTGCCTACTCCAAAATTTAGTAATGTAGTACTTTAAAATAATATATAAGAATATCCTTATAGAATTTGGGGCACAGAGGATTAGTAGAAGTGGAGACTATAAACAAGTTCACTGTCCGCCTCTCCTGGGGAGAATTCAAGAACACAACGCAACTTCCAACTTTTTCACCAGCCTTTACCAAGTAAAAGGTCAAGATAAAACCGGTCTCCGTGGCGAGACACAGAGTCTAAGAGAATTCTACCACAGGGAAATGAAGTTTTTTCATGTTTATTATGGTTTATATTCAGATGACCCTTCAAAAGCCTCATGCATTCAGAGGTGGAGCTTTTAAAGGAAGGTGATTTAGATGAAGGGGATGTCACAGCTGATTGGCTGTTAGGTGGCAAGCGATCAGCTGATGCATTTCCACGGCAGTGTGATCTGGGAGTATAGATTCCTTCCCGGGTCTTATTCACTCTCCCCACTTCCTGGCCACCAGAAAATGAGCAGCTTTGGTTTACCCTTGCATCATGCTGCCAACCCTGCAAGTCTGAAACTTACAAAACATAAACTAAAGTAAACCTGTCTTCCTTGAAGTCACTCGTGTTGGGTATTTCGTCCCAGCATCAAGGAAAAAATGACTAAGGTAGATTTGAGTATCAGAGAAGTGTTGTCATTGCGGTGATTGCTACCTGACCATGTGGTTCAAAGCTTTTGGAACCAGTTCGCAGGGACAATTTGGAAAGGTGATGCTAGCTGGAGAAGCTCTAGAATGCTGTACACTGAGCTTAATGGAAGACATTGGCCAGAGCTCAAAAGACCAGAATGTCATCAGAAATGCAGACGCAGGAGGTGTCAGTTGCAAATAAGGACTCCAGTGGTGGTTATTCTCCAGGCCATGTACGTTACGCTCCAGCAGAAAAATTGTCTGCATTTTGCTTGTGTCCTGAGACTTTGTGGAAGACTAAGGGTGGCAGACTAATTAATTTGGCAGACAGGATTTCAAAGCAGCTCAATATTCAGACTGCATAGATATTGTTGAGCCAGGTTTATCCTAAAAATCAAAAGTAGATTACAGAGCTGAATGATTCAAAAAGTTTATGTTAGGCCAGAAAGGAATATCTGGTAAAGTTGGGGACTGCAAAGTTGGAGTCAGAGGAGAGTTTGGTTTCTGAAAAGATTAACATTAGAAATAAGCCAAGTACTTTGGATCAGGACTATAGGAAATAACAGCTTGAGGACATCACAAGAACCAGCAAGGCTCCACCTTTTGCAGACGTAAAATTGTAAAAGTGAAACACTGTGCTTTAAGAAGACAGCCCTAGGGCACTCTGTTGAAGACAGGTTGCCTAGGGAATTCGTTCCCAGGATTCACTTCATAGTGCTTAGCTATCCAGATACTCAATTACTTCTGCAGCCACCACTCAAAGGAGCCTGGCTACTGCTTAAGCTGGTGGCAGACTTTGGCATTATCCACATAGTGCTGGCTTTATAGGCATGCCGAATGCAGGAGTTATGGGTCAGAGAGACTTCTACCCCTATTTCAGCAGGCTTGGGAGGCCAGGCAATGTGCCCCTTGAAGGCAATATGTGAAGCTGTGAGATTGAAGCCAAAAACGCACTGGAGATCAAGGAAAGTTGGAGAAGCCAGGAACATGCAGAGTTGCAGGTAGTGAGAGGAGCTTCCCCGAGAGAAACCGTATGGGGTGCAACCAGCAGTGCTGTAGGGCCAGAGCTCCTCAAGACATTTGGAACCCATATTTCACCACTGCCTGTGTGCCCCAGGCATTAACATAGAGTTACAGGGTGTAAAGTTCAGTCTTGCTTTGGTCTCATTCACTTATATTCCCCTGTTTCTCCCTTTTGGAATGGAAAGGTTTATCCTCTGCAGTTCTATGTTACTTAACTTTTTGATTTTTAGAGTTTGCTTTGAGTCTCAGAGGAGACTTCAGGCTTGGACTTTTTAGCAGTGCCAAAACTATAAAGACTTTGGATCTTAGGCATGGACTAAATGTATTTTGTATAAAGAGATGCATATGGGTGGGCAGA